GCATCCGAGATACCGCAGCCGTTGTCGCCGCTGATGGGTCATCCTCCGGAACACCAATGATGCGGATGTTCTGACGTCGAGACCGGGACTCCAGGTCATCGCACTTATCCTCCAACTGTGCCACCGTCTTAGTAAGGACGTCAACTGTTTTCTGGAGGTTCACGATGTCGTCAGTGCAGGTGGAGACGGACTTCTCCACCTCTGTTACCGTTAGCTTTAGCCCCGTGAAGCTCTCCTGCACCGCTGCTAGCCCAGACGATAGCTCCTTTTTGAAGGCGGACAGCTCGGCATTAATCGACGAGAGACTTTCACCCAGAACAGCATGGAATTCTGCTTTAATTATAGCAGCAAGGTCCTCTCGGAGAGCTACAAGTATTTCTTGCTTAAGGCTGCTGACGTCGCCCTCAGACGGAGGAGGTGATCCAGGACAGCTCGAGGCTTCACTACGAGGATTAGGCCGCAGGTGAGCGTGGATCGAACTTACCCCTTTAGTCGGTTTTGGTGGCATTTTAATGGCCAAATAGGAGGGTTATGTAAAGTGTGTAAGTTAGCTATTGTTTGCTGTCGGACTCGGGAAAAAGTGCCCAGGCATTAATCAGAGAAAAGGCTAATTCTGTAGGAGCACACCCAAACACACCTTATCTCACCGCCATTCAGCCGGAAGTCCCTACCTGGATTCTTTTCAACCGGACATTAATCGTGTTATTGTTTCTAAAAGTTTTGTGCGTTCAAAAGTCTCTGGCAGCGAAACTGAAACGTCAGAAATGATTTTTAACTGAAATAACCCAGGCGCTGATTGGCAGAAAAAGATGCAGATGGTCACTACCACACGTAGCAGGAGGTTTGTTTACCGCAGCTCTTTTTCAACTGGATGGCACCCAAATATTCTGTGTTCAAAAGTTTCTGTCAGCGAACCGAAACACCAGTGGAAGATGCTGATGATTCAAGAGAAAGTAGAACAAACTTTAAGATGGCCATACTTATGCAGATGTTACCGGCCACCTACGGCACGATTGTTAAGATGGAAGCTGCATTGGTCGTGCGGATTAATGATTGCAGAAAAAAAACATCACTTTGGATACCAACACCAGCTGGACAAAGGTGAAACAACTTTATGATCGTCTTGGAGCTGAAGCAGACATGATGAGGAGGGGGAGAACTTGAAGCTGGACCTTCAAACACCTGGTTCAACCACTGAGCCACTAAATTTAGTGCCAGCAAGGGATGATTCAACAAATTTTAAAAACGATTTGTATTAAAAATATATTTTTTTGCACCGAGAGGCTGCGTCTGCTGATAGAGCAGAAGCAGAGGAGGGCTACAGGCCTGAACAAGTTTTTAACGTGGATGAAACGGGCCTGTTCTGGAAAAGGATGCAATCTCACACTTTTATTATGAAGGACGAAGCCAAAGTGCCTGGTTTCATCTCATCTTCATCACCTTCATCGTCATCACTGAACAGCTTCTGAACAGATCAATCATCTCCATCTCATCTTCTCTGGTGATAACCCATTTAAAATTAATACTTTTAAAAACTTTTAAGAATTTAGAAAATTGTTAGGAACATTGCAAGAGTGTGGGAAGGGTTTAAAACGCCAACCTGTATATAAATACTAAAACAAAGTACTACTTATTACTACTACAGTAAATACTA